AAATGTTACCAGTCATTGATAATTCTTGCCTAAATCAATGATTACTCTGATGGTTACAAAACAGTGATTCGTCTCCCTCCATGATCCCTCCTACATTCATTCATTGGCATTCTCCTGTCAGGAAGAGCTCCTCTGTTCATCTATCTATATATTCACTATCAGTGTGGACTCGGGGATGTGGATTTTATTCGATGGACTGTAATCCATGATTGTTTTTTTGTTTTGTTTTTGTTTTTTTGGCCGTGCCACGCATGGTATCTTAGTTCCCAGACCAGGGATCGAACCCCCATCCCCTTCATTGGAAGATGGATTCTTAACCACTGAACCACCAGGGAAGTCCCTTGGATAGTTTTTTTTTTTTTTTTTTTTTTGGCCTCTCACTGTTGTGGCCTCTCCCGCCGCGGAGCACAGGCTCCGGACGTGCAGGCCCAGCGGCCACGGCTCACGGGCCCAGCCGCTCCGCGGCATGTGGGATCCTCCCGGACCGGGGCACGAACCCGTATCCCCCGCATCGGCAGGCGGACTCCCAACCACTGCGCCACCAGGGAAGCCCCCTTGGATAGCTTTTTAAAAAAATTTCCCTTTATGGGAGTTCCCTGGTGGCCTAGTGGTTAGGCTTTCACTGCCGTGGCCCGGGTTCAATCCCTGGTCGGGGAACTGAGATTCCCACAAGCCAAGCAGAGCACGGCCAAAAAAGAAAAATCTTTCCTTTTAATATAGCTATGTTATTCATTTGAAATACACTTGGGAGAATTTGTTTGTATTCAGTTTTAGCTTTTCCCCCCATCCTGTTGATTTTTTTTTTTTAGTATGTAAAATAGCAACATGTGTCCAGAAGTCAAAACTACACCAGAAGAGACACACCCAGAGGAGTATCACTCCCTCTCGTATCCCTAGCACCCAGTTCCCTCCTACCCCTTTAGGTAACCAGTTTCATTAGTTGTCTTCTTTTCCTTTTTTCTTTTATATTTTTTCCCTTTTTTTTTCCTTTTTTCTTTTAAAATGAGCTTTATTGGGGTATAATTTACAGACAATAAATGACCCCACTTTAAGGGTACAGTTCAATGAGTTTTGACAAATGCATACCCCTTTTAACCACCCTCCAGTCAAGATACAGGCCATTTCCATCAGCCCAGAGGCCCCTCTGGGTTCCCTCTGCAGCCAGTGCCCCTCCGCCCAGCCCCAGGTGGCTGCCCATCTGCTTGCTGTCACCATGAAGATGGTGAGCATCTTTTCACTTGTTTTTTACTGTTTTTTTTTTAAAAATTTATTGGAGTATAATTGATTTACAATGTTGTGTTGCTGTTGCCATTCTTATTTGTCTTTTGTGACACTGTGTATTCAAACCTTTTGCCTGTTTTTTTGTTTCTCATTCGGCCACATGCACAGGGCATGAAGGATCTTAGTTCCCTGACCGGGGATCAAACCTGTGCCCCCTGGCAGTGGAAGCACAGAGTCCTAACCACTGGACCACCAGAGAAGTCCCTTTTGCCCGTTTTTTAAAATTAGGATGTTTGTCTCATTTTTATTGATTTGCAGGAGTTTACGTGTGTGTGTGTGTGTGTGTGTGTGTGTGTGCGCGCGCGCGCGCGCACATGCGCACGCACATGCATGCAAAACATATTCTGGATACAAGCCCTCTGTCATAAAAATATTTTCTTTTCTCCAAACCAGTGGCTTGTCTTTTCATTTTCATAGTAGTATCTTTTAAAGAGCGAAAGTTTGGATTTTTGATGAAGTCTAATTTATCAATTTTTCCTTTTATGATTGTTTTTTGTCTCCTGTCTAAGAAAACTTTGCATAGACCAAGGTCACAAAGGTTTTCCCCCATGTTTTATTTATATATAGTTTTAGTTTTAGCTTTTACTTTTAGGTCTACAACCCATGTCAAGTTCATTTTTCTGTGTGGTCTAAGTAAGGCGTATAAGTTTCCTGTGGCTGCTGTAACAAAGTTCCACAAACTGAGTAGCTAAAACAATAGACATTTCTTCTCACCTTTTAAGATGATAAAAATATTCTGGGAGTAGATAGAGGTGATGGTTGCACAACATTGTGAATATACTCAATGCCACTGAAATGTGCATTTTTAAATGGCTAATGGTTATTTTTATGTTATGTGAATTTTTCCTCAGCTGAAAAAAATTGAAAATAAAAAACAAAATCCCACAGTGAGAGACCACATGTGTCATCTCAGGTTGCATATGTCCCCCACCCCTTGAGGAGTGACAGTGCACTGTGCACGAAGCCTGGGAGCCAGGACTCTCACCTGGTGGTGGTGCTGCAAAATGGGAGGGGCTGGTGGGGGGGGAGCCTGCCACTGTCTGGAAAATTAATTATGCCTTCCCTGGCCGTCCAGTGGTTAGGACTTGGCACTTCCACTGCAGGGGCATGGGTTCCATCCCTGGCTGGGGAACTAAGATCCCGCAGGCTGCATGGCACGGTCAAAAAGATTTAAAATGGAGGAGGCTCTGTATGCACAGATCTGGAGAGACACATAGGCTACTGGGGGATGTATTGTTAAGCAATAAACGCAGGTGCTTTGTTGGGGCAACTGGACCCGCAGGTGCTTTGTTGGGGCAACTGGACCCGGAGGGTGAAGAGCTGGCCCCCACCCCTCCCGCTCATTCCAGGCACTGCCTCTCTGACCTTTCCTCCCTTCCTCGCCTTCCCCTCTCTCCTTCCCTCCCTTCCACCCCACTCACCTCCAGCCTGCCTTCCTGTGTCGACACACCTGCTCTCCTCACCGCCTAGCCCACCCCCGGCAAACACTAGTCCCCAGAAACCTTGGTGAGCACTCACTGGCCTCGGTGACCTCGTGTAGTTCTAGAGCATCAGATAATACCTGTCCCAGCAGCCCCCAACTTTCCTCTGCGGCCCCCAGACCTCTCCCCTACACTCCACACTCACATGAGTTCAAGGTCCCGAGGAGAGGGCCCCCAGCACAACAGTGCCCCTCCTGGCAGGAGTGCTGGCCTGCGCTGGCCTCCAGCCAGGAAGTAGGGAGCCCAAGACTGCCAAGCAGAAAGCTGGCCCTTTCTCAGCCCTTTCTTAGGATAAGGGGCTCCTCCCTTGGGCCCCGCCAACCATGGTGTCTTTTCTATCCCTCCAATGGCCACAGGGAAGGGGGTCTCCTCCCGTGACAGCCTCCCTGCCCCCTTGACCCTGACCCCAGACGTCTCCCTTCTTCCCAGCCTGACTTCCCAGCAACTTAGGGCTGTTTCTAAAAACCAGCTCTTT